GAGGAGGAGGAGGAAGAGCAGTGAATGATCCTGGATGAATGATGTCTGCAGACAATGCCGCTGCAGGTATCCTAACAAACTCCCTGTGAGTCCTTGACTGATGAATGGATGACCGAGAACAATGCGTTCCGGCGATGACGGGTTACAAAAACAGGGCCAAAGTTTTGGGAAGCGTCGACTTTGACTTTGAAATATTTTTCCCTCTCAAACGTATGATCTGAGGTTGGTGCAGAGAGTCTAACTCAATGTGAAAATCACACCACAGTTTCAGGGCTGTTCAGGATTTCTATGTGTTGGTACTAAAGGTATTTTTAAGGTAGTTTTGCTCCTGGGGGCTAAATTGAATTAAGAACATTTCAAAGAATTTGGTCGATTAAACTGCTGTTTGCATGTTTCATTACAGATCACCAAAGCCTGGACTTGGAAGGTTTTTCTGCGTAGGAGGCAGATATGAAATGTTGAGCATCTAAGATGTGCGTACCAGCTCGCATAACTGTGACTGTTTACTTTATTTGTGTTTTTTAAATACTCAAACCCAGAAAGTTGCTTTTAAAAACAGATAAGATAATCATAAACATTGTGAATAAGTCCATTTTGATTAAAAACCTCAGAATAAGACCGCGATGTCAAGCTCCCAATTGTTTCACTGTTATTTTTATCCCAGGTAATAACTGTAATAACGCACAGTTTCTAACTGCCTGCCCAGTAATTACATGCTTGAAAGGCGGGAAGGGTAGCCATTAATGTCCGACGTGTCAGCGTAAAAAGGTGAATGCAGAGTTATAACACGAGCTGAAGGGAAACTCCCGTCACCCAATCAGCTGTCGGAGCTCCCGCTGCGGAGATGAGGTCTGAATATTTCATCACGGATCATTTGAAGGGTCGCAGGAGCTCCCAGTGGGACTAAAGATTCAGTGAACTGTAACTCACATGTTTAACCCGGTGGAACGGGATGAAAGGCTCTTCTCCACCTGGAGGCTCCGGGCCAGGACTCCCCTCTGTGACGGTTCTCAGGGTCAGATCGGTCTGAAAAGACATAAATATAATGTTCAGTAATGACTTTAAAACATCTTTAGCTGATGTTAATAGCAGTGGTCAACATTATACCAGCGAGGGACCTCAAGGTCCACTTCATACGAGGACAGGTTGGAAGAAGGTTGATTTATTGGCTTCATTTAAAACACTTCCACACAGATCACAGATGTACAGCGGAGAACAAAAACAACCTTTTATAGTGATGAAGTCGGTCCAGGTCACGCTGACCACTATGAAGCGATGATTACTGTAACCAAATAGTTTTTCTGTATTTCTCGTGCAGATCACCTTCTAATTGACGTTTAGAGTAATTGAGTAATTGAGTAATTGGAGTAATGAGACAGCTGTGTTTTATTGACCACAGGTGGCACATTCACATTGAGGTGGAAACGAATGTTAATTAATGTGCACCATCCCTGGTGAAACATCATATATAATAGTAAAACATGTAACCGCCCAATGAGCACTTAAGTTTTGAATCTGTGACTGTTACTTGTAACGGAGTACTTCCATAGTGTGAAATGTTTAAGCGTTTGAATGAAATAAAGTTAACATATACATTTTAATCTCAGCTCTGAACACATGAATTCCCATCAGTGTGAGCTTCTTCTAAAACAACCAAACCTAAAATAACAGACTTCTGTCTGAACCACAGACTTTAAAAAGTGCCCTTGAAGTATCCATCAGTCTGTAACCTTGCACAGCTGCATGAAAGCTTTAAAGATGATTCAGAAATGCTCGTGGAGCCTCCGACAGTCCAGTCATACTTTAGAGCAATGACCGGAATCAAACAGAAACGTCTGGGCTTCGTCTCCGTCGACTGACTCGTGTGTTTGAAGACGACAAAGTGAAACTGGCTGCTGATGAATTCACACTCAATATGCCTTCACCGGCACATCACAGCTTCATTTGATGCATTATTGATGATTATACATTGTTCTTCCCACTTCTTTGTATGTTTTATCCCTTTTACTACAAGTCTCTCATTTTTAAATCGGTTCCCTTCTTTCCAGCAGCCATCACTGTGAACTTCTAATAATAATGAATAATACAGCACAGACTTTCTAACCAGCCTAAACGTTCACCATCATTACTGCACCATACATCGGGAGAGTATTTAACGGTGTCGTCGTGATGTTAACTGTTCCTTCACTCAAGGTTTTCATTTGGAAATGTCTGAAAAGGAAGATTTTGATTTGTTCCACAGACGTACATTTACATTTTCATTTTCTTTTTTCTTGAGCTTTGGTTCAAACTGACTTTCTACACGTCTTCACGACTCAAAACATATTTCCAGTAAACGACAGGAAAAATGTAAAAGGAAACGCAAATGAATTGCCGATTAAACACCTGAGTCATCAGAATAAACACAGAAATCATTTATTATTATAATAGTTTAAAGGGTAAGACTGTCACTGTCTTGTATTTATGCGAGCGGGACCTTATGATTCATGTTTGTATGTTTATTTACAAAAATATGCGTTTGTTAAATGTAAGATATGTAGTGCAGATTCCATGTAGTGCAATTACATCTTTAATGATTATCTGGATAATATTGTGACAGGATAATCATGATAAATCGTCCCATGTCTACCAGACATATCCTCCATTGTAACTACGCTACAATGTGGAAAAACACACACTGAAAGCGTCCCGGACGGACAAACTCTCTCTGATCCTCGTTCAAACGAGGAGCAGAAGTCACAACGCTGTCCGGTGAAGTTTGGCGTAAAACAGCTGCAACAGAAAAACCAGAACCTACAGATAACGTGGTGTAGTTTAGGAAACACGAGGAGGTTCCACTTCAGGCCAACGCTCACAGAGTTCTGTTCTCATCAAACCTCAAGGGTCCTCCAAAACCTTTTCCACCGACTCATCAGCCCACTGTGTGTCTCTGGAACAAAGCATTTGGCTCAACCTCTTATCAGCTAATCAATGTGAAGAGACCACTCCACATAATTGATATAGGATGTCATGATGTTCCTCCCATAGACTCGAGCACGCACACAAAGTGGAGGGTGTTCTTGTAGAGGATAAGTTTGGATTTGCATATGAATAACAGCGCACAATGAATTCCTCCCACTTGTTATTGTTTGAAGTGAAACGGAACACGTGTTCCCTCTTGATTGAAGCCACAATGAAAAGTGTCTATTGTCTTGAGAGGCATCACCATTGTGCTACATCAAGGAGCTGTTGCAGAGAGAGAGAGAGAGAGAGAGAGAGAGAGAGAGAGAGAGAGAGAGATCTCTTTGTCTTGGGAGGCATCACCATTGTGCTACATCAAGGAGCTGTTGCAGAGAGAGCGAGAGCGAGAGAGCGACTCCCAGCGGCTTGTCTGACTCATCTGAGCGAGTGAAACATAGAGCAGTGATGGACGTCGCTCCCGTCTCACCGGGATCCCTCCACGTACTCCTTTATGAATTATGGATGAAATATTTAGTCTTCACCCAAAAGAAAAAAGGTTGTTCAGAGAAAAACTTTGTCTTTTTAAACACATCACCGTAGTGTAAATGTCTCAAACCAACTTTCAAACAGTGGAATCGGAAGAAGTGAATCTGAAAAACATCTAACCGTCGTGTGTTTGGGGGGGAGGGAGGAGACGGGATCTCAACCCTTTTTACACGGTAGACATTTTTGACGCGTTAGTAAAATAAAACCGAATTAACTTTATCTCCGTTCCAACAAGTGTCCCAGAGAGCAATGACACAATACCAGGAGCCTGCAACCTGCTCACCTTTGTTTTTACATGTTAATCAGTGAAAGAGGTCTCTTTACTTTACTTTAGTGTCTACAACCATGAAAGCCTTCAACACCAGACTGTCCTGAAGTGAGAGCCATGTTCACCATCATCAACCGGACCCACGGTCTCTGACTAACCCTAACCATCTCATAGCTGTGATCACAATGATTCCTGAACGTTAACCAGAAGGTAGTTAACATGCGCAGATACTGAAGAAAGAAAATATCTTTTAAATGTTGCCATTAGCTGTGAAAAAAAACAGGTTTTACAGAATCCTAAAATATTGATGTCAGATATAAATATCAGATCTATTTCAGCGATGACATCGACTGCTGTGAAGAACATAATAAAACACCTGAGCTCATTGTTACAGTCAGCCGATGACTCGCTTGTCAGAAAATCAATAAAGAACTATTTTAAAGACCACGTGTGTGTGTCAGCGATTATTTTGTGCTGTTGAATTGTTTAAATTACTCGCGTTATTATTATTTATGTGCTTAAATGTTCCACTGCCTGAGAATCCCCTTTGAAAACAGGACGGTGCCTCTCAAGGGGTTCATCCTCTGGCTCAATGAAACAGAAGGACAGATGGTGGAGAAATAACACAGCGCTCGGCCGCTGCGATGGTTTGAAGAGCGGCTTCTTGGAGACTGTTAGCGAGTCTCCATCATCTCTAAACACACAGACTGCTTCTCACAAGAGGAAGACTTTATCCGACACTCAAAAAGCAAAGTGCATCCAAAGTTCAAGTACCCTTGGTTTGACTCTGTGACCACTGAGACATAAAGAGACATTCAACAATGTATGGCAACGCACGCACGGCTTTATTTCTTCTTCTTCTTTATATTTACTGCTATTAAACCTTTATTTATCCAGAACATCTTCGTATTTACACAGACGGCTCCGGAGGTTAACTGTGGGGGAGGATGTGTTGCACATTATTCATATTGCAATAGCTGCATCTGCAATGATTATGTGCTGCTGGCCACTGTGCTGGGTGGTTGGGGGGGCAAAGTGCCATGCTCAAGGGCGCACATGTTTTCAATAGCTTTTGACACTCCAGACCGCCTGCAGCGCTTCAGTTAACTGAGAGTTTAATGTGCTAAAAGAGCCAAGTTTAGGGTTGCAACCAGTAAAAATACCAGCAAACAACTCTTCCCTGGAACAACACGACTACCTCCTGTTTGTTTTTTTGTGTTCTGGCAAAAAGCTTCTTTGTTGTGACATCCGGTATTTCAGATGTACTCTCTGCTGCCCACACAGCTCGGCTCTAATTGATGAGGAGAGAGCACCACTCACCCGTACCTCAGTACACCTGAGTGGTAAACAGCTCAACTAGTCCATCTGAAAGGTGAGGCTGGTCTCTTACAGTTTAGATGCGCTTCAATGATTGTTTACATTGAGTAACTGAGTATATTTATGTCTCAAGAGCAGCTTCCCTGTCTTTTCCTGTTACCGAGTACAGAGAAGTTCAAAGATCCTCTTACAACCTTCTTTATTTGGCAAATAAACAACAATTGTGTGTTCTTTTAACCAGCGTTTAGGTCACGGCATGCTGACTTGTTCCTATCCGTCTCTCCTGAGGATTTAAGCGTCCGTTACAATCCCAAAAGGACGTGTTCACGGTGCGCTGCGGACACCACGGACACGTAGAGGATGCGTTCCACACATGCAGACTGTGGTCACGAGGACACATTGGAGGTACGGAGAGTATAGCTTTAGATACAAGCAAACAGCGTGTTGTTCAAACATGTTGGAAATCAAATGTTTATATCTGATCCGAAGGCCACACTCGAAGGCGGGGTGGAAAAATGTCCGTCACAGACAGACAGAGGGAATCCAAATATGGAGATAACGGCATCTCGGTCTCTCCTGGAGGACATTCATAGTGTTGCACACGGTTGTTCACATGAAATAGATGAGATTGAAGGAGGATGAAAAAAAGACGGCTAAAATGAGAAGTTCAAACACTCATCTCCACACATCTGGGCATTCAGTGTGAAGTGTCAGTTTAGGAAAGTTACAGAAAATGGTCAGACACAGCATCCCAAATCTGATAACGGAAAGGTGTGAAGGGAGAAGCTTTCTGAAGCTGATCCAACCGTGACAAGCTGTATACTTTAAAGTATACTTGTCCCTTTAAAAGCATTTAATACTGAGACTAGCTAACAGACCTGTCTGCCCTTTATTAAGATGTTTGCTGCCTGACTGGATTCTTTAAAGAAAAACCAAACTCAACAATAAGAGACATTTCAGCCAAGGTTACAGACAGCTGGTCCTCCTGGTGAAATCCTACATCTTAAGTATCCCTCATCACACTGTACACACGTGACAGCATCCGGCTGAATTTGTTTGTTACAGATGTTCCAGCAGGCAGCTGATATACTGATGCCCGCCCCCCCCAATGAACACTACTAGCCCCGTGTCCTTGTAGGCACGACGGTGCACTGAAGCAACAAAGTGCGTTGTTAGACGTCCCCTGATAGATCTGCTGTGAGGTAGAATTCATGTCTCCAGTGAGAGGGATGATGTTTGGCTGCGGCTCAAGTGTGTGGTGGTGTTGGGGGGGGGGGGGGGTCCACCAGGTATTCATCACTGGAGGTGACTGGGTGTCAATTAAAAAAGCAGTGCTGGGTAATTTTACAGGATGAAAGTCGATACAGGCAATCATCTAAGGGACGCTCACTGCTACTGTATTCACAGCCGTCCTGGGACAGACGCTTAGAAGGAAGAGGGATGGCATTTTAAAATATCTATATATACGACATTTAATCTATTTCTGTGCTGGAAAACAGTTATGTTCTGTATGATTTAAACATTCTTTGTTAGTTAAGTGAATTTAAAACACATTTAAAAGTACTTTTTTTTTAAAGAAGCAGACTATTTATTTGGGCTTCAAAGTCAACCCACTTAGAAGACATCAATCCGGGACCTGAACCAGTCTGATGGCTTCTGTTTGAGGAACTTCTTGGAGTCTCTGCTGCTTCCTGCACACACACACCTCTAGTATTCTTTTACAGATTAAACAAACTCGATATAACCAGCAGGCCATTTGAGAGGGGAGGAGTCTCATTGATCCTTAATGTGACTGAGGTTTGTAAATGACAGAGCTAGACTCTACAGCCCCGCCCACAGCTCTGAAACATCACCAGCCCAACTGTCTTGATGAATCCATGGCGCTGTCCGTGGTGCTGAAGTAGCAGACAGATTTATAATTGAGACTTATTCTCTGAGTCCCGCCCGTCTGTCGGTTTGGTTTGGTTCTATTATATTCTCTATGCTAAGCTAAGCTAAACCGGCTGTAGCTCTGCATTTAGCGTACAAACATGAAAGAGGCAACAGCCGTCTCGCTGAAGTCTCAGAAGGAAAACAAATTCCCCCAAAATGTCAAACTATTTCTTTAAAAAAAAACTCTATTCAGTTTACTATCGTATAAAAAAGGGCCAATCCTCACTTTGGAGAAGATGGACTGTTTTAGCTTCAATATTAAAGAATTGATAAATCGATTATTATATTGCTGTTGATTAAAATTAAAATCACATAAGATAAAATAAATCACCACAAAAGAGAAGCTGGAGCTACGACATGTTTGATGTCCCTTATTGTCTCTCATAAATAAACGACCTCAGACGGGGTGAGAAGTACAATTCAAACCTCTGAATCATGCGACTAAGAAGTAATTACATTGCTTTTCACATCTCAGTGATGTGTTGTCTGGAAACTCAGAATGTGACTCTTATCGCAGCAAAACAACCAGCGTAGGTTTGAGTTTCACCCTAAAAGATGACGAGGATAAGCGGCTCAGGGTTACTTTCATGTTTCCAATTTTGAGTGGGCAAAAAACAGGAAGGAAAGCAAACCAGCTTTTGATATATATTCAAATGAGAAGTATACAGGGGGAAATTGGATTTCTCTTTCATTTCAGAGAATGAATTTCCTGGCGGCAGATCGCATTGTATCATCTGCTGGCGTTAATATCCAGCTCGGAGCATCGGGAGCGTTTCTTCATTACAAAGAGGAACTTCTCTACACCTCCTCGCCGCACAACGCAACCATGATTTCCATTTCTGTTCCGATGTTCAAACAATACCCCTAAGGCCGCTTAAGACGCTTTTTCTCCCTGTTTTAATTTACACATGAAAGACGATAACATATCAAAGGAGTTTCTGCTTCAGATTCAGAAGAAAACTTGTTTCTGTGTTACGTCCCTTACAACAACGAACTGAGCTCATTCTGTTCCTCAGAGCGAGCCGGAGGAGGAGGAGGATCCTTCTGTAGGTGTGACCGAGTTCAGCGTTCACAACAATTCTAATCAGTCCTCCGCTGACTCCAGAGAGGAGCCGCCAGTCATTAGCAGTCAGAACCCCTTCATGCCTCACAGTGATTTGGTGTTTAGGGTTTGTTTGATTCATACATCCTGTGATCCTTCAGAGGAGACGTACACGTGGTTGCCTGTCACAAATCACAAGAAACGCAGACCGGTATTCACAGAGAAACTCAGTTTGATAAAGGAGTCATTCCCAAAATGGCATGGCAAACGTAAAACTTAAAATATGTTTCAAGAAGCCACAGAGTGTCGGGTTGTCTCTGACACCACCTGGTGGTTTTACACAAACATACTCAAAACACTTCTGCATTCATAAATCAAATGTCTCCTTTTTTATTTTGTATTGACACACTGCTAACTGACCAATGATTGGGTAGTTTAAGTGCGTGTTCACCCAAATTAGTAAAGCAAAGGCCTGTTCTCATGTAGTCAGAGGGGTTTAATCACGCAAATAGTTTAAGTTTATCTGGTTTACAGATTTCTGCTGTCGCCAAATACAACAACGGAGAATTAAATTAAGTTTGTGGTGCTCCCAGCACATCTTTAAGAAACAATGTCCGAGTTACTCTTCTACCAAAGAAAAAGTCTACATTACAAATGTTGATGACTCCTCTTATGCACAAGTGTACGTGTACAAACACGGATGTTTTGTTTCTTAAAGTCAGAACTCGGTAGAATAACGTTACATGTTATTTGTCTGGATAGTGTGTTTTGTCACGGTGATTTATTTCTCCAAAGATGTTTCGGTTGATTCATGTAATTATTTCTGGTGTGATAAGATTTCAGTCAGAATCATGGATGAATAAAACCAAAACTATCTGCATGGACAGACGGAAACCTCTCGGGCTCTATTTGGATGAACTGACCCTTTAACTCACGATACAGAAACAAATGTTCAGCAGATGAAGACCGACTGGACCATTTATTATTGTGAATCTTTGGCATGTGTGATGACAAAGCTAACGAACACACAGTTTACGCTGCGGAACTTGTTGCTGTAGAACGGTTTCTCTCCACATCGGTATCCATCTTCGTTTTACATGCAAATAGCAAAAGTATCCCAATAAATTAACAGTCAAGTTCTCTCAGCACAAAACATAAGTTCATAAGAATATTGAAACTGTCCTTCTGTACATCCAGGCTCCTCGTGTAATCCAACGGCAATAATCCGTCTCGGTTCTCCCCGAAAGTCTCTTCGTCATAATATTCCAAAAATGATGCAACGATATTGTTCAGAAAAAGTAAAAGAAGTCGATCTGCATGCAGGCAGTTCATGGAAGGGATCTCCAAACATACGGCGAGGGAGCGAGATGAGCATCAGGATCACAAAAACACTAATATTTGTAATGTGAAGATCCAAAATCTATCCACTGCACTTACACAGGGGAGCGGCTCTGATGTTCCACATAATCTCTCCCCAAAGCAGCAGGAAAAAAAATTGCTTTTACACCGCTCACACACCCATTTGAGTCTCAAAAACCTGGAAGGCTTCTGCAGAACACGTTTTCGAGCATATGGAGTTCATTCTGACTCAATCAAAAGTGTGTGAGGAAAGTGTGTGTGCCTGGAAGATCGCCAGTTTGAGTCCCTGCAGGGAGGAGGAGAGGTAATAATCTCCACGCCCTCTGCAGTGAGGGGCACATTTGATTTGCAGCACTTCATAAGTTGGCAACTGCTCAGCGGCCAGTAGCAGAGGGTTGTGTGCGTGCGTGCGTGCGTGCGTGCGTGTGTGTTTTCAGCAAAACTAAGCAAAAGAAATGACGAGAGCAGCCGGACACATTGACACCGTAGCTGTACCTCTAGTATGCAACCAAAGAACGTCACAAGGTATTCCCTACAGCTGGACACACCTGCACTTCCTCCTGGCCGGAGGACCGGATGCAGCTGTGTCGGCTTTAAGGAGGCTACTTGTTGGCAGAGTCCCCGTCGGGCCTCATGCTGAAGGGTTCCAGGCGCTCGCTCTCGGGCAGCATGTTGTTGAGGCGCTCCATCAGCGGCACCGTCTGGTCGATGCCCATCTGGATGCGTCTCAGAATCATGGACATCTCGTTGACCTTCTGGATCTGCTCGGCGTACTTGGCGTAGCGCTTCTGGCGCTCCTGCATTATGCTGAACAAGGTTTCCACCGACAAGTCCATCTGGAAGGAAACAGTCAGGTGAGAGAGAGACTTGACGAATCATCTTAAAAACAACTTCTACATCAGCAACACCGAATGCATGAATATGATTAATGTAATACGAAAACACACAGTGCAAGCATCTCTCAGTAGTGTAACTTAAATTTAAAGAATAAGACGTGTTAAGAGGTGAAATCCTAACGATACTAGGCGTCTGATAAATGTGTAGTTTCAAAATAACATTTCCCTGAAATTCATATTTCACATTTGCTTGTTATATATATATATATATATATATATATACACACATATATATACATACATATACATACATATATAGATATATATACACACACACACACACACACACACACACATACATACATACACACAGTTGTGTGAAAAAGTGTTTGCCCCCTTCCTGATTTCTTATTTTTTTGCATGTTTGTCACACTTAAATGTTTCAGATCATCAAACAAATTTAAATATTAGACAAAGATAACACAAGTAAACACAAAATGCAGTTTTTAAATTAAGGTTTTTATTATTAAGGGGAAAAAAAAAAATCCAAACCTACATGGCCCTGTGTGAAAAAGTGATTGCCCCCCCCCCTGTTAAAACATAAATTAACTGTGGTTTATCACATCTTTGGAAAGCTGAGTTCAATTTCTCTAGCCACACCCAGGCCTGGTTACTGCCACACCTGTTCTCAATCAAGAAATCACTTAAATAGGACCTGCCTGACAAAGTGAGGTAGACCAAAAGATCCTCAAAAGCTAGACATCATGCTGCGATCCAAAGAAATTCAGGAACAAATGAGAAACAAAGTAATTGAGATCTATCAGTCTGGAAAAGGTTACAAAGCCATTTCTAAAGCTTTGGGACTCCAGCGAACCACAGTGAGAGCCATTATCCACAAATGGCGAAAACATGGAACAGTGGTGAACCTTCCCAGGAGTGGCTGGCCGACCAAAATTACCCCAAGAGCGCAGCGACGACTCATCCAAGAGGTCACAAAAGACCCCAGAACAACATCCAAAGAACTGCAGGCCTCACTTGCCTCAATTAAGGTCAGTGTTCATGACTCCACCATAAGAAAGAGACTGGGCAAAAATGGCCTGCATGGCAGAGTTCCAAGACGAAAACCACTGCTGAGCAAAAGGAACATAAAGGCTCGTCTCAGTTTTGCCAGAAAACATCTTGATGATCCCCAAGACTTTTGGGAAAATACTCTGTGGACTGACGAGACAAAAGTTGAATTTTTTGGAAGGTGTATGTCCCATTACATCTGGCGTAAAGGTAACACGGCATTTCAGAAAAGGAATATCATACCAACAGTAAAAGATGGTGGTGGTAGTGTGATGGTCTGGGGCTGTTTTGCTGCTTCAGGACCTGGAAGACTTGCTGTGGTAAATGGAACAATGAATTCTGCTGTCTACCAAAAAATCCTGCAGGAGAATGTTCGGCCATCTGTTTGTGACCTCAAGCTGAAGCGCACTTGGGTTCTGCTGCAGGACAATGATCCAAAACACACCAGCAAGTCCACCTCTGAATGGCTTAAGAAAAACAAAATGAAGACTTTGGAGTGGCCTAGTCAAACTCCCGACCTGAATCCGATTGAGATGCTGTGGCATGACCTTAAAAAGGCGGTTCATGCTCGAAAACCCTCCAATGTGGCTGAATTACAACAATTCTGCAAAGATGAGTGGACCAAAATTCCTCTACAGCGCTGTAAAAGACTCATTGCCAGTTATCGCAAACGCTTGATTGCAGTTGTTGCTGCTAAGGGTGGCCCAACCAGTTATTAGGTTTAGGGGGCAATCACTTTTTCACACAGGGCCATGTAGGTTTGGATTTTTTTCCCCCCTTAATAATAAAAACCTTCATTTAAAAACTGCATTTTGTGTTTACTTGTGTTATCTTTGTCTAATATTTAAATTAGTTTGATGATCTGAAACATTTAAGTGTGACAAACATGCAAAAAAAATAAGAAATCAGGAAGGGGGCAAACACTTTTTCACACAACTGTACATACATACATATACATTCTTTGTATGCGGGGGATGAGTAGGAGAATTGAAGTCAAAAGAACATTTAAATCTTTCACTCTTGTTGTATAAAACCCTTTGAAAATCAATAAAATAGTTTGCAGCCTCACCTCTTTGATCCTCTTGACCAGGGCGTTCTGGTCAAAGGCCACGGCCTCGGCACACTGGTGCAGGTGGTCCTGATAGCGGATGCAGAGCTGCAGAACTTGAGCAGCCTCCAGCCTTTCCAGACACACACTGCTGGGCGACGTCTGGCCACTCAGCACTCCTGTGGAGAGCAAAAAAAGCAAAAGGACTTACACAGACACGTTGGAACGCTAGACAAACAGCGTGACACTCAATTATTGTAATTTAGCTACAGAATGTACCCGCAGTGTGCCCACACAGGCTCATTATACACCTTCTAACACAGTGCTAATGGGCTGCAGCAGCTATTAACGTTCAGAATGAGCTGGTGGGAACTTGTTGAAAATAACATGAAACCCTCAAATGGTAGAAGTCAGAAAAAAAGATCTGCACAATCTACTGACAGCTCCAAATATAAGTAATTTCACAGAGCAACATTTCATTATAAAGATAATGTTTGACAGACATCAACACTATTCAAAACATTGTGAAATTATACTGAATTTATTAGACGCCATCAGTGCAACTTGTTTTAGAATTTAGCACCGGTAAAAGTGATTTTAGTTAATTTATATTTGTGCACTAAAGCTTGTCTGATGGTACTCAGTGGCACGACTGTGGCTCAGAGACAGAGCGGGTCGTCCTTCAATCACAAGATCGGCGGTTCCCGCTCCGCAAGTCGTTTTACCCCAAATTGCTCCTGTAAGCTGTGCCTACGGTGTGTTAATGTTGCGTGAGTGGGTTAGTTAGTCCTGATGGGCAGGTGGCACCTTGCATGGTAGCCTCCAGCCATCAGTGTGTGAATGGGTGAATGAGTGTTAAAGCACTTTGAGTGGAGACTAGAAGGGCGCAATACAAGAACGAGTCCATTTGCCATTTACCATTACTTATAGTGTCTCATGCACCAAATTAGGTTTCATGCTTTATAAATATGCATTTCTTCATAAATTCCCAAAAGTCATAGAATATCTGTCAGAGAAAATGGGATCCGTACCTTTTAAAAGTGGCTGAAAGGTGGGTATCTCCTGGAGTTTGATGACATCTGGGTCGTTGTGGATATTTCGCATTGACTGGGTCCCCTGAGCCACCACGACGATATCATCCATCTTGGCTTTTTGCTTTGCTGGGGAGGGAACCACTGCAATGACAAAAAATCCTGTTAACAGCGACAGGCAGTAGTTACTTCACATCACCCCATCGTGTTGCAGTCAGATCACTAGTTAGTAAATATGAGAATGTTTTTAGTAGAAAGGTACTACATTGATCCATACAAGTAGATTTCAAAGAAATATTTGCTTTGTCATTTTGGACAGTGGACAAAGACGTACTCATATCCTTTCCTGGTGTAACATAAGTAATATCACAATGTAAAAATACACCATTAAAATAACTATATCCATTATTTGACTTATAGTAACATCAGCAAATCATCCAAAGGTATCAAAAGTTAAAGTACTCATAAAGGATGTGTGGCCCTAACCCAACTGTTATGGGTAGTTGTCAAGTAAAAAGTGCAGGAAGAAATACTAATAATCACTACGAGATGTGGAATAAAAGTATAAACCATAAAATGGGATTATTAGGTGAATTTAGTCACATTAATTAACTTATATTACTTTCCATCAAGCTATTAAACTGCTCTACCTTAGTTCACTTCTGTAAAAACATATGCAAATGACTAAATCATATGTTCTCTTTGATGTCACAGAAGTTATCTTACCCGAGGAGCTGTAATCGGAGTGCTTGTGCTCCGCGTCTCCACTCTGTTCGGCTCCCATGATGCTAGCGTTTGGCTAGCAAGCTAGCGGTTAGTTTAATGCTGTGTTCAGTAGTCAGCGTTTCCAGAAACGCGATAACGTTTATTTAATTAAACGTATCTGTAAAGACTTCACAGGACCTCCGGACTCACGAGACGACCATATCCCACAGGAGGGGCAACTGAATGACAGGGTTGTTGTTGTTAGCTCTGAGGTTTCAAGCTAGCTAGCTATGTTAGCTAACGTCAGCTGCTCATGCTAACATGTACTAGCTAACATGTTAGCAGTCCTTCATGTGAAGCTAAGTGAGAGAGAAGCGGGCTTCTCTCTTGTCGGTGAGTGATACCGATGTATCTGTTTACCAATGTTTACGTGACACGACGCGACACAAATGACAGTTGAATACGAGGCACTACTTCCGTAAATATTGATCACGTGGTCTTCCTGCTGCGCGTGTCCGTAAAATGTTACCGCCCCCTACTGCTGCTGGTGAGGCCCAAAATAAACAAGACAACCTATAATGTTCCAAATTATTGTCAGAGGTGGAGGAAGTATTCGCATCTTTTACTTCAGTAATTAAAAGTATAAATACCACAATGTATCTAAGAGCTTCGGTGTGCAAAGCGAGATAAATACTTGTTGAGGGTATTGTTAGTGGCGTGTTATAGTTTACAATATTTACACAATGGAGAAAATAAAATGTATACGAAATGTATGTGTGTGCATATGTATGAAAATATACAGTTTATGTACATTTTTTACTGAAGTAAAAGACCGTAATATTTAATCAACACGTTTTAGTGTAATTGTGCGCCAGTGTTCAGACCTCCACATAATAAAACAAAGACATCTTTAACTCTGTGGATTTAATGAACAGGACAAAAGTCGTGCTTAAAAGCACAACTGGAACACAAAACACTTCAAGTAACATTAACAAGTAGAAAAACAAGTAATACACCAACATGTATCACTGTTTAATAAACTTAGACACAAACAACATTTTAGGAACATGAACAGAGTTCTTTTAACGCTGTTGTATTGGGAATCAAACCATTTGAATGTGGTAACCTGTAGGAGTAAAACTGCTGCATTTAAGTCTTTGTGTCTCATTATTGACAACAGATATAAACACAAAACAGGCTCATAAACGTACAAAAATCCATTTAGTAACACAGCCTGAAATTGAACATAACTATCCATCTAATAATAAGATAACTACTTTGACTGAGAACACAGAAGCGTTGGTATGGTCGAAGAAGGAAAGTGAAAGAGCCATACATACAAGGGGCTTCATGCAGGCGAGTCCAGGCTACACGAGTCCGGTCTTCTCCGGGTCCGCCTGACTCCCGTTGTCCTCTTCAACCAGAGAGTAGGGTCGCAGGTCCAGGGTCAGAATGCGGCTGAACATGCATTCTTCAAACTGTGAAGAAGAGAATACCGTAGTCACTGTATTGTCACACCATGCAGAAATTAATGAGTTCTTCTTCTTCTTCTTCTTATGAAAGGTTTGTTACATCTGAGTAGACTCCCAGCAAAGCGTCGGCCCTGGAGAAAAATTCCTCCTTCAGGGAGATAACAATGATCTGCATGTTCTCTCTGGACTCCTCTCTGATGAAACTGGTCACCTGGACACAAACACACAAGGTGTGCACGGATATAATTCATAAAAATAAGGTAAAAGAGCACAGTTGAACACAGTCAAACGTCATGATTACACGATGTAACACGTGATGTATGCATTACTCTGGTTGTTTTATATGTTCTTAATGCTGTGTGCAGCACAAGCTAAAGTTGATAGAAAAACTATTTTCAACTAATTTTCAAGTCTTCTGTCTGCAGGTAAGTTCATTCTGGTTCATTCTGACTAGTATTCGTACAAGTTACTGTATGAAGCCCTTACATATGCTCGAGCTCGTCTGGTGGGAGGAGCTTAGGACAGAGAGGGGAGAGCTGTATTTTTCTCAACTCAACCTTAAAATGTTCTGTATTATCCGTCAAACGGTCCACATTCAAAGATATTCAGTCAAATAGACAAAGCAAATCCTCACATTGGAGAGCAGGGAATCAAAGCCTTTTCAAATGATAGATCACTTAAATAGTAAATAGCTTGTTTGATTCATTGTTTCAGCACTACTGTGGATATTAACTGTGAACCCTGGACGCAGCTGGGATCGTACCTTGCCTACGTTGGTGTTGTCCAGCGCTGCATCCACCTCGTCCAAGATGAAGAAGGGAGCAGGACGGAAGCTGAAGGACAAAACACAAACAGAGTCAAACAGTCAGTGAACCAGCGACGTGGTTCAAATGTTTGATCAGCAGCCATTAAAAACTGATATACCGAGTATTAGATAAGATGGAACAAGTGCTTCAAAAGAGGTGGTAAAGTCTTGAATTTAAGAAGGTTTTTAGTACAAAAGAACAGAAGTAGCAGCAGGGAGATGTCAAGAGTCTCTCTAGTAGAGTTAATGGTGTGAAAGAGGACAGGATCAACAGGCTCTCCAAATGACAGAGCCTTCACTTTAATAGTCCATTCATCAGTTTAAAAACTCTGAGTCATTACAAGTTAAGTACCCAAAGTCGACTGGCTTTCCCCCAAAAAGTTTCTGAAAGATGTTTCGTGGTGTGTCAACAGCTGTGTTTATTCCTTTATTTTGCTTTGTTTTTATAGCTGTGGGGAGTAATTAAGCAGCTGTCCAACTCACACAGATTATGTTCAATGATTTTGGGGAAATAGGATGTTGGTAAATCAATCTGTCATTACAGATTTATTAATCTGTTTATTCAACTTGTTATTTTGTGCAATCTTTGTATCTTGAGTTAATGCTTTTACACTAACCACAATTTTCCAGTTTCCTCTATTATAATTTAATTTAAATTCAATGTATTCTTGTCGCCCAACACAACAAATCATAAATATGCCTCAGAGGGCTTTACAATCTGTACATCACACAACATCCTCTGTTCTTGGACCCTTGGATCGGAAAAGGAAAGACATAATCTCTTGTTTTATATATTGTTATCTGGTCTGTGTGATGTGTTGGAGTGTTACCTGTGGATGGCAAACACCAGGGCGAGGGCAGCGATGGCCTTCTCTCCACCAGACAGATTGTCCATGGACATGAAGCGTTTCCCCGGCGCTATGCAGTTGTAGTTGATGCCTCCGAGATACGGCTCGTCTGGATTCTCTGCACTCAGGATGGCCTGCAGCACAAATGGCAGGAACTTGTCATTTAACACCTTCTGCAAAGCCCAGTGTTGATGAGAATTATGTGTAGTTTACACTTGAAAAGTGTCAGGTGAGGAACTCTTAAGTGTAGATGTGTATATACCCCCACTTTTGACACTATATTGTCGAGTACATTACATCTAAAGTGCACACAAACCCTACTGGTTGGTGATGACGGAGTATATTCAAGTAAAGCTCAAGTTAAGAGTGTTTTTTTTACAAACATGAATGTGAGGGAGGGATGCAGATGAACACAATAAAAACAGAGAAACTTGAGAGCGTGTTTCTGTGGTTGAGGTTTTGGTGCGTCACCTGGGCGCTGCTGTTCCTGCATATTCGCTTGTAGATCTGATCAATTACGACACACACGTGTTCGAAGCACCGGCTGAAGCGGTTCATGCGTTGGGCTTTGACTCGCTCGAACTCCTGACTGCATTTTCTGGCCGCTTTGGTGCTGGCCTGAAACGCTGAGCGAGGGGACGGGGAAAACAAAGTCGACTCGGCAGTCCAGGTACTTCAGTTATCGTACGACAACCGCCTAGTCTTACACAGTTATTAATAACAGAACATGAATACAAATCTTGTGGATGAGATGTTTAACATATAAACATTCACTAATATCAAGACTTTACATTTGAATATGCATTGAACAACATACCATCCGTCACTTCCTGTAACTTGTCCCTAACCTCCCTCATCTTGGCCAGAGCTTTCAGGTTCGGGGTCGTGGTGCGATGCAGCACTCCCTCTACGGAGGAGACCGACTCTTTCAGCCTCTCCATGAAGGCGTCCACCTCCTCCTCTGTCTGCAGACTCTGTACGCACACAAATTCAACGCATGTTATAGGTGCGTTTCTGGTCGTAGGAATAAACAGCACTGAGAGAAGATTGGGACAAAGAAGAGGCTCGATGTCTCGACCCTGAGTTCTGCGTCCAGGCCGGAGTAGTCGATGACTAGTTGTGCCTCTCTCTCATAGATGTTCAAGGTGGTTGAAGTGCTTTCAGATTCTGTGTCCAGCTGTAGAGAGGAAGTCAGACATCAGGTAAGACGTCATTTTATTACTTTTTTAGTTTCTCAAAAGCCAGCAGGGTTTCATAGATGTATTACTTTAATGTGAGGAGGATTCTACAGCTTCTATTATTACATTCCCCTTTTTTAAAAATGAACATCCAGTACTTTTCCATAACTGTGCGTGTGTCGTAACGGTTATTGAAAAGAGACAAAGAAGGGTTCATTCTCTCCGTCTTACCTGCACCTCACTGATTTCGTCCAGGCTCCCCGACAGCAGCGTGATGGGCAGACTCTGGATCTTGCAGAACAGCAGCATGTTGTGTCTGGCCAAGCGTTTCTGCTCCAAGGCCGTCTCTGCACACATCACCTCCCGCTGAAGCTTCACCAGCTCACTGTGACAAAGGTTGGGAAGAAGAAACTCAAAAGTCAAAGTGGATTGGAATATTATCTGGCCGCTTTACAACAGACGAGTCCAACAGACGTTTTTGTGATGTAACATGACTTTTAGCTGGAGACCATCTTACAGTCTAAACATGTTTCACTTTCTTCATGCAGAACGTACTTTTCTACTTTGTTAAAGGCTTAAATAGAACATTTGATTTCTTTTAGAACTGAACTACTGACTTAAAAAAATAAGCCTGTTTTTATTTATTTTTATAATTTAAACCTACAGTTGAGTTCTGCATTATGCAATGATATACAGTTTGTCAGAATATATAGATTAACGGATAGAAAAGGAGACGTTAGTGGCCGCCCTACAGCACAGAATGTATGCATTAGTGTTACTTGTTGATCTCTTTGAGGCTCTGGGTTTTCTGGTCCAGCTCAGCTTTGGCAGCGGCCACCTGGCTCCTCTGAGACAGCAGCTGGTTGTTCAGCTCCAGCTGTTTGTTCTGACCGTCCTGCACCGCCGCCAGCAGCTTCTTCTCCTCCTTGAGAGGGTCAGGGGTGGAAACATCAGGCTGGAAAAGTCTGCTGAGCTGTTTTATTTCACACCAGCCACTGAAACATCCCTAAACTCAAGACTTCTTAAATCTCATTTAGAGGAAATGGATAATCCAGGAGGATTAATTCAACCTGTCATTCTGGACACATTTCACCCCTTTAACAGTTTCACGATGAGAAACCAGAATGAATGCCTGAGTCTCTACCTCCCTCTGCTCGGCCATGGTTCTCTCGTCCTTGTGGATGGTTTCCTCCAT